TATTTGGCGATCTATCTAGCTGTCTATCTATCCATCCATCTATCCATTTATTAGTTTATCTGTCTATTTATCTATCTATCTATTATGTATCCATCCATCTATACATCCGTTTATCTAGTTATCCATCCATCTATCTCTACATCTATCTGTCTGTCTGTGTATGCACCTACCTATCCACCCACCCACCCACCCATCCACCCACCTACCTATTCACCCATCCACCAACACATACACCCACCCATCCACCTACTCATCCACCCACCCATCCACACACCCATCGATCCACCTATCCCCCCACCTACTCATCCACCCACCCTATCCACACATCCATCCACCCATCCACCCACGTATCCACCCATCCACCCCTACAAAAAAAAAAAAAAAAAAAAAAAAACACCTACGTTAAATACTCCCCCAACCCCCCACCTTCCCTCCAACCCCCGCAAAACCAACCCCCCACCTCCCCCCGCCAACCCCCGCCAACCCCCTCCCCCCTTCCCCGATTTCTTTCCATTCAAGACCCACCTGTCGCGGAAGTGCTGAAACGCCCTCCTGAAGTAAGTCTCGTCGAGCTGCGTCAGGTTGTAGTGCTTGAGGATGTAGGTCGTGTAGTCTCGACGCCTCACGTGGACGGAGACGACAGTCGTGTTGTCTCGAGGGAAGGGCCACCGGATCCTGTGGAGGGCCTCCTGCAAGTTGCTCCTCGCCTGCGTCAGGACTTCTTCTTTAAACGCGAGGACGCTCCTGACGAGGTTCCTGTGGGCCATGATGACGTCCCGAGGGCAAGGGTGGTGGTAGATGTAGTACGACCTGTCCATGAGGCGCGTCCGGACGACCCCGCCGATGCCTGACGACTTCGACGACGCCCTGGACTGCAGCAGGAGGTACAGGTCGTCGAAGGTGATCCGGAGGGTGTCCTTGGTGAAGCACTCGGGGTCCTGGATCGGCAGGCTGACGTTGACGAAGTACCATGACAGGACCTCCTTCATGCGGGGCGTGATGGACACCTGCGGCACCGGCGGGAGGAGGGGGGGGGGAGGAGGGAAGGAGGATGGGGCAGAGGAGGGAAGGGGGTAGGGGAGAAGGGGGAAGGGGAGGGGGAGGGGAGGAGGGAAGGAGGAGGGGGCAGAGGAGGGAAGGGGGTAGGGGAGAAGGGTAGAGGGGAAGGGGGAAGGGAAGGGGAGGGAGGGGAGAGGGGGGGAGGGTGGTAGGGGAGGGGGAGAGGAGAGGGGGGAAGGGGAGGGTAGAAGGGGGGGAAGGGGAGGGTAGAAGGGGGGGAAGGGGTAGGAGGGAAGGAAGGAAGGAAGGAAGGAAGGAAGGAAGGAGGGAGGGAGGGAGGGAGGGGGAGGAGGAGGAGGAGGAGTTGCAGGTGAGATTTCTTTTTAGTTTTTTTTTTTTTTTTGCTTGGTCATTTGGTTTTGTTGAAATATCTTTTATTTTTATGTTATCGTTTATGTTCTTTTCTGTCCTGTTACACAAAACAAAACAAACCAAGCAAACAAATAAACAAATAAACAACAACAAAAACAACGACAAAAAAAATCTTACTCGAACGCCGTAGATATGTCGAAGGAGATACAGGCTTATATACTGACACATCTTGTTGCCCAGCTGGCCTCCCGCGTGCATGACAACGTGGGGTTCATTGCAATCTGGGGGGGGGAGGGGGGAGGGGGAAGAAAGACAGGATGCGTAGATTATTAATGCATGTTTTCCTTTTTTTATTTGTTGAGTTCGGGTGTGGGTAAAATGTTTGGTGTGTGTGTGCGTGTGCGAGTGCGTGTGTGTGTGCGTGTGCGTGTGCGTGTGTGTGCGTGTGCGTGTGCGTGTGCGTGTGCGTGTGCGTGTGCGTGTGCGTGTGTGTGTGCGTGTGCGTGTGCGTGTGCGTGTGCGTGTGTGTGTGCGTGTGCGTGTGCGTGTGCGTGTGCGTGTGCGTGTGTGTGTGCGTGTGCGTGTGCGTGTGCGTGTGCGTGTGTGTGTGCGTGTGCGTGTGTGTGTGCGTGTGCGTGTGCGTGTGTGTGTGCGTGTGCGTGTGCGTGTGCGTGTGTGTGTGCGTGTGCGTGTGCGTGTGCGTGTGCGTGTGTGTGTGCGTGTGCGTGTGTGTGAGCGTGTGCGTGTGCGTGTGTGTGTGCGTGTGCGTGTGCGTGTGTGTGTGCGTGTGCGTGTGCGTGTGTGTGTGCGTGTGCGTGTGCGTGTGCATGTGCGTGTGCGTGTACGTGTTCGTGTGCGTATAGAAAAAGGGATGACAGTAAGTAATTCACCCATATGGCTAAAAATACACCAACAAGTTCTATAGAAATTTTATCAATTTTATAGCCTTTTTATTACACCTTAAATGTATTTCCTATAGACACTTACTACCTTGCTCCCTAACACTGCTAAACAGCAGTCATTTTTTATGCGACCTATAATTTACTGCTTCCCGAAGAGCTAGTTTTTTTTTTTTTTTTTTTTCTTGCTTTTTTTTTTTGTTGAATTATCTTTTATTTTTATGTTATCGTTAATATTGTTCTTGTCGCTATTGTTACGTAATTTTAGTATTTCAATTATTACCATCATCGGTTTTATTTTTGTTTATAGTTTTCATCATCATCATTATCATGTATACATCATTATTATCATTGCTATTATCATTATTATTACAATCATCATCATCATCAGGAATCCCTCCCCCAAAAAAGTTACATCACGAACAAACAAAACAAAACAAAACCAAGCAAACAAATAAACAAATAAACAACAACAAAAACAACGACAAAAAAATCTTACTCGAACGCCGTAGATATGTCGAAGGAGATACAGACTTATATACTGACACATCTTGTTGCCCAGCTGGCCTCCCGCGTGCATGACAACGTGGGGTTCATTGCAATCTGGGGGGGGGGAGGAGGGGGGGGGAGTTTTTTTTGTTGAATTATCTTTTATTTTATGTTTATCGTTAATATTGTTCGTTGTCGCTTTGTACTAATTATAGTATTTCAATTATTACCATCATCGGTTTTATTTTTTGTTTAATAGTTTTCATCATCATCATTATCATGTATAATCATTATTAACATTGCAAATTATCAATTATTATGACAATCATCATCATCATCAGGAATCCCCCCCCCCAAAAAAAAAAGTTACATCACGAACAAACAAAACAAAAACAAACCAAGCAAACAAATAAACAAATAAACAACAACAAAAACAACGACAAAAAAAATCTTACTCGAACGCCGTAGATATGTCGAAGGAGATACAGGCTTATATACTGACACATCTTGTTGCCCAGCTGGCCTCCCGCGTGCATGACAACGTGGGGTTCATTGCAATCTGGGGGGAGGAGGGGGGGAGAGGAGGGGGAGGGGGAAGAAAGACAGGATGCGTAGATTATTAATGCATGTTTTCCTTTTTTTATTTGTTGAGTTCGGGTGTGGGTATAATGTTTTGGTGTGTGTGTGTGTGTGTGTGTGTGTGTGTGTGTGTGTGTGTGTGCGTGTGCGTGTGCGTGTACGTGTGCGTGTGTGTGCGTGTGCGTGTGCGTGTGCGTGTGCGTGTGCGTGTGCGTGTACGTGTTCGTGTGCGTATAGAAAAAGGGATGACAGTAAGTAATTCACCCATATCGCTAAAAATACACCAAAAAGTTCTATAGAAATTTTATCAATTTTATAGCTTTTTTTTATTACACCTTAAATGTATTTCCTTTAGACACTTACTACTTTGCTCCCTACCACTGCTAAACAGCAGTCATTTTTTATGCGACCTATAATTTACTGCTTCCCGAAGAGCTAGTTTTTTTTTTCTCTTTTTTTTCTTATTCTTTTTTCTCTTTATTTCTTTCTTTTTTCTCTTTTTTTCTTTCTTTTTTCTCTTTTTCCCTCTGAATGATAATAACCACTAACTTTTAAGCCTAAATGATCATATAAATGAATAGGTCCATAAAATGCTCGACCAAACTGTTAACATGAAGAGATTATTCATAAAAAGATAATTATAGCCATCAAAACACTTCATATAGAAAAGGTATGAACGAGAATGAGTATCTTCACAATGCACGTGATATTCATTCTCATTCGTACTTTTTTTTTTCTAGATTTGTCATTTTTTCTACATTTGTCAACATGAATACGGTTCATAAGACCTAATCTAGAGTGCTGTGCCGTGGCATGGAGTCCAAAGTTAAAGAAAAAAGGATATAGACAAACTGGAAAAGAATTTAAAGAACAGACACAAGATGACCACCGAATTTTAGGAGATAGGAACTAGGCTAAATAAACATGATATTATGATTTTGATTTTTATCATTATCATTGTCATTATTATTGTTATCATAATTACTATTATTGCTATTACTATTACTATTATCATCATTATCACTAATCGCCAGCATCATCATCATTATCATCATCATCGCTATCATTGTTACCTTTCTTAATATTACTGTTATCACTATTGCCATTATTGTTATTACCATCACCATCATTATTATCATTACTATCACCATCATTATTATCATTACTATCACCATCATTATTATTATTATCATCAATACTACTACTACCAAAACTACTACTATTATTATAATTATCATTATTATTATTATCAATATCACCACCATCATCAGTATCAATATCATCATAACAATTACTATTGTTATCATTATCCTTATTATTATTATTATTATTATTATTATATTAATAATGATACATTATCATTATTGTTTTATATTATTGCTGCTATTACCATAATCATTATATTTATCACTGCGATTAGCTTTATTATTATCGCTACCATCATTACTATCATTATTATCATTACTATTATCAGTTTTATTATTATTACCATCATCATCATCAGCATCATCATCATCATCATAATAATAATAACAAAAACTCTTACTATTGTTAGATCATCATTGTAATTATTGTCACTATTATAATTATCATCATTATTGCTATCATTATCATTATCATTATCATTATCATTGTTATTATTATTATTATTATTACCATCATCATTATTATCATTTATCATTACTACTACTACAACTATTATCATTATTATCATTACTATCATTATTATTGGGACTAATATTACCATCATTATTATCATTATCATTACTCTTACTACCATTATTATCTTCATTATCATTATCATTATTATTAATATCACTATTATTATTATTATTATTACTATTATTATTGTTCTTGTTATTGTTATACTATTATTATTGTCATCGTCATCATCATCATAGTATTGATAAAAAATAACAATAATAATAATGATAAGAACAACAACAACAACAACAATAATAATATTAATAATAAGGATAACAATAATAATAGTAATGATAATAATAATAATAATAATAATAATAATAATGATAATAATAATAACAATAATAATAATAGTAATAATAGAAATAATAATAAATAGCAGTGATAATATCAACAACAACAACAATAATAACAATAATAACAATCATTTGTTATTATTAAAACAATAATAATGATAATGATAGTAGTAGTAATAATAATAACAACATTAATAACAATGATGGTGATAATGATAATATTAACAATAATAATAATAATAATAATAATAATAATGATAATAATAATATTGCCAACAACAATAATTGTAATTATAACTTATAACAACACAGCAAACAATAACATCAAACATTACGTAAAACACACAGACCGCCTCGCACACCTGTCGTAATGATTTAATTTTCTAAATTTCCTAATTACAAAATTTTCCTTCAGTCATTCAGAGTAGAAATTGCAAGAAAATTGATCAGTTTGATAAGTGGCGGTATTGATTATTTTAAAATATTATTTAGTTAACTGGAATTTGTATGTTTTTTTTATGGCTTGTTATAATCTGTGTCGATTTTACTATCCATCAGTAAGTAAATGCAACGTTGCTTAGGGCTATGTTAAATGGAGAATCCGCTGTTAATTTTTCTTCCTAGGTGAATTTCTTATAAATTTCCTCGCCAGGTGAGAAAATGTTACAAATTGGGCCAAACAGCTTTTCATAAAAAATAAAATTGAATAACTTATTTTCTTATTTTCTTTCATGTGGCTGTGTTTCTTTGGGTAAGTTTATCAATTCAACATATAATAGTTTTTTGTTCGCTGTTCCACAAGTGAATTTCATACGACATAACTATCCTAGTCTGCGTTTTGTCAGTGTACAAGGAAAGAATGTTAATGGCAAATTCTCATGCATTTTCTCCCAACCACTCACGTGCCCCTTTTTATGAACCCATTGACTGAGAACACATGTAGCTGAAAGTCCTATGCAAAGGTACAGGTAGCTTGCCATTAATCTTTTGGTCATTCTCATTGGTTATGTAAGCTTGCGTTGCCATATTGCATCGCATTTGGCCTACCTGGATGAGATTATTCATGAGTGGGGTAATATGTGTATTTTTCATGTTTGCAAGTCATTCAAGACTTAATATTCAGTGTGTTTACTTAGGGAGAGGTTTACGTAACTGATGGAGGGGTTTTCCGCCTTATTAATATTTCTAGTATTCATGACCATCATTTAATATTATACCTAAAAGGAATTTCAAGGAAAGGACTGTCTATAACAGAAACCACGTACCTTCCTGAGGGATCGGAACAACGTGGAACGTCCCAGGCAGAGGAAGACAGTTGGCAGACTTATTAACCCACTCCGGTACGGCTTTCGGCTTCGACGTGGCTGGCTTGGGGGCGCTCGTCTGCCGGGGTCCCAGTGCTGTGGGCTTCGATGGCTTTTCGGAACTTTTTTTTGTCGGTCCTGGAGGCTCGAGGGTTTTCTCTGACGTCATTGGGGATTCTGGTTTGCCTTTTGGAGGCTCTGGGGCGTTCTTTGGCATCGGAGGAGGTTCTGGAGGCGCGGGAACTTGTGACTGTAGTGGTTGTAGGACTTTCGCCGGTGGTTCTAGGATTTTTGCAGGTGGTTGTAGGACTTTCACCTCTGGTTTCGGAGGCTGCAGGACCTGTGCTTTTACCTCACCCTGCCCCTGGATTTGTCCAGGCTTCTGGTCCTTTCCACTGTACGCCTCCAGGAGGGCCTCCTCCGCGTCAGAAAGGGATTCCTTTGCTGCCGCTTTCTCATCTTGACCTCCCGCGTTGCTGCGTTGGAGGTACGGGCCTTGTCTCACCTCGAGGACGAAGTCATGGAGGTTGAACAGGAATACCAAGGACAGCGATGAGATCAGGAGCAACGCTGCAAACAGTCGGTGGAGGTTGCAACGAGTCCCCGCCATTGTTGCAAGGTGATTAAGAAACGGTGAAAGTTATGTGGGAAATCAGTGTCCTTTCCCTTTTTTCACCATAATCGTCTATTAAAGACAAGTTCAAGGTAGGCTCCACATCATTATGCTTTATATTATATTCACTGATGACAATCAAGTGTTCATTGATTTGGGGAAAGATTCATTACCGAGGGTGATTTCACATTTCAGATTCCACTATGCAGGTTTATGTTATTACAGCTGCAATGCATTAAAGAGAACATTTATCTATATGACACGGAATATTTGACAACAAACACAGTAACGTGTACACTAATATGAAAAGAAAAACCTCCACAGTTTTAGTTTATTATTCGTCTGAAGAGGAAATCGTGAAGAGTTAGAAGCGTCACGATTTATTTTCATTTCTTACTGTGGGTGTTTTCCTTTTCAGACACGGTATATCTTTTATTGTTATCATTATTACTGGTTTTCATTGTGATTATTGATGTTCTTATTTTGAGTACCAGCATCATCGTTGTTACTGATGCTATTATCATTATCTCCATCATTATTCTTATCACTGATGTTACTATTATTATTTTGACTGTATCATTATGATCATGGTAATCGTTTTCATTATCAATACTAGCATTAGTGGTAGTGTTTGTTTTAGTTCGTTAAAATATCACTATCGTTCTTATTCATGGCATTATACTAGTCATCATTTTAAAAATAATCATCCATATTATTATTGCTTGTATTGTTGATATCATCATGTTCAATATCATTATCATCATTATAATAATAATAATAATAATAATAATAATAATAATGTTAATGACAATAAAATCATAATCATTATAATGACAATAATGATTGTGATGATGAAAATAATAATATATAATGATGATTATGATAATGATATTATGATGACGACGACGACGATGATAATGATGATGATAATGTTAATTATAATGATACTACTACTACTAATAATAATAATAATGATAATAATATGATAATAACAATGATAATGATGATTACTGCTACTACTACTCTGATGATGATAACAAAATAATAATAAAAACAGTGATAGGTTTTATTATTATTATTACCATTATTATTATAATGATACAATAATAATGATACTGATAATAATAATAATAGCGACAACAACAAAACAACCACAGTAATATTGTTGATGATAATAATGATAATTATTATTATCATTATCATTATTGTTATTACTATTATTATTATTATTATTATTATCGTCATCATTATCATTATTATTATCATTATTATTATTATTATCAGCAGCAGCATCAACAAGAACAACAATAATAACGATAGTACTAATGATTATTATCACTGACAAAATTATTGTAATGTATTGGTAATTAATACCATCATAATTATTAGCATCACTGTTATCGATAACCGATTGCAAAGATTTCTCTGGAAATATTAAAAAAGAAACTAATAAAAGTCAGATATTAATCATATACATAGGAGGAAAACGGCAAATTGGCATTGCAAATACGAAAATGCTGAATGTAAATAAATCAGCTTATTTGCATTGTATTATGGGTAATGAAGACAGATCAGTGGCGCCAGAGGAAGAAGTAATTGGAATTATATTCAAGGTTAAAGTTGAGTTACGATTTTGGTAACGCTGTTTAAATCATCTTTCGAATGACGAAGAGAAGACACGTTTTTTTCTTCTTCTTTGTTTTACTTGAATTTGCTCTCACATTATTTTTCTATTTTACCAGACTTTACTATATCACAATCGCAAAATACAATCGCAGTTAATGCACGAATGATCACAAGCCTTAAAGAAATACTTAAATCTCCCAAACTGTTGTGAATTTGTGGGATCGTTGAGTGTTTCAATGTGCAAGGTATCCATCTGGTCTCTGGATATGCATGTCTGTTTGTCCTTCGATCTTTTCTTGATAGTTTTATTAGTCTTTTTTTCGGGGGATTTGGTGGTCTTGAGTCTTTATATCTACTATGCTTATTTTCCATTTCATTCTTTCTTTCTTTATTTATTTTCTTAGAATATTTTCAGGCAATACGTGGTCTGCTATTCTTCGTTACCTCGGAGTTATAACGTCTATCGAAAGTGTATCGAAAATATTTAATATAGTGCAAATTAATAACTCTGTAAACTGATTATTAAGTAACAAATAAATCATTGAATAATAAACAGCTACATACATACATGATTAATAATAATTAATTGATGAATATACAAACTCTCCACTTTTTAATCAAATAAGCTCTCTAGGCGGAAACAACATATTTTTCTCCTTTTTCGAGTTTCCACAAAAAAAGTCTCTGCACGTATATACTTATTACATAACTGTGTATTCGTTTCAGTAGTACTTCACTGAACACTGAACAATAACACCGAAACAACAGATACATGAACACTCGTCATTAAAAATGAAAAGGTTGTTAACAAGGTAACAAGGCTTCCGGTATAAATAAAGTGTATTTTCTGACACTATGGTAATACTGAAGCGGGAGAGGGGACTGTACAGACTGGCGAACCGAAAAAAACTATACCTGGCATGTGTGTGTGAGGGGGGGTAGGGGAGGGAGGGATAGGGGGAGGGGGACATGTGAAAAGTGGGTGGGGGAAATGAGGTAAGTTGATAAAAATTAAGGGGAAAGATGTGAAGAGAAGAAGGTAGAGGAGAGATGGAAATATTTGAAGGAGGTTTAGCGAAGAGGAAGAAGTAGGAAAGGGAAAAAAGAAAGTTTGAGAAT